TTGGATCAATAAACGTTTTGCCAGCTGACTCACCTCGTTACAATATGACCGGGTGCAAAGTATCTCTTTAAAGATTATGCGTGCCATGTATAACTGGATTTTGGCTGTCTTTTGTTGTTTTGGTTGACTGTTTTACTAAAAAAGAAAATAACCCTGCCTAGAAAGATTCACTAAATTTATCCAACCCTATGTCAGACTCCTGAATCTCGAGTGGCCATGGTTCGATTGCTTGAGGCGGTGCGTTTGGAGAGAGGAACCGGACCTCTCCTGATACATTGTCTGGACGGGGCTACTAGGAGCGGTTTGTTCACAGTGTGTCATTTGTTGGCTGAACGAATCACACGGGACCACTATGTCGATTTGTTTCACGTGGTGAAGGCCGTCAAACTACGCCGTCGTGCGGTGCTCGCATCCATGGTAGGTTGTTTGTGTCAGTTTGGCTTATTTTGGTACTATTGTCAAACTTGCCTGCCTTGATCTTCATGTCATAATCCCCCATTGAAATTGGGATCCGCTTTTCTGTGTGTACGAAATTGTTTTTTATCAGACAAATGTTTCTAGGATCTACCACACACACAGAACATTCCAGTCAGGGATGTTGGGCAATTTTGGAAATTTAACAGTTCTGAATTCTTACGTCTCCTAGTGGCACTCATGCCCATATAATCACTTACAGAGAGAAAGAGCCTTGTATAGACCACACTGTGAGTCACGTATAACGGTGACCCAGTCATTTATCTCTAATGTCGCTTCATGTTTGACACTTTTTTCATTGATTCATCGATTCATTTAATTTGCACAGTAACGTGCAATCGTCTAACTCACTCATTCGTTCGGACAGATTAGGCGTTCTGTCCTAAACTGTGATACGCTCTTAGTGAACAGATAGTTTGTGGTAGACAGTGATTGGTTTCAACACTTACGTTCGTTAGATTTTAAGCCGTTGTTAAGACATGGAAAACATAAACACGCGTGCTTCGAGTTAACGAGCTAACTGGATAACTTGTTCGTACCGTCTCATCAACGTCATATGCAAATGGCGATTTCGGTTTCGCCGAACCAAATTAGTTGTTTGACGACATTCAGAACGTCATTTTTCTTCATTTGTCTCAGTTATCTTGGAACTGAAGCTTTTTGGGGGCAGAGGTTGGGGGAAGTGTTGGTCAATAAAATCCAAAGCTATTTGTTCTGTGATCGAAAATTTTACTCCGTTTTCGGCGCGTATTGAGTAGTACTGAAAGTTTTAATCATTGTTCTAAGGCAATTATGGAAGTCATTGAAACGTGCAACGAGATCGTTTTCCTTGCTAAAATACCAACATCATCACTGTACAAATTTGAACAGAATTTCCTCGTGTAGGTGTGCTAATAGCTTTCTGTTGTCTGCTTTATTTCTCACACACTTCAACTATTCATCGTGTCCCTTTGATAGGATCAAATGCGTTTTGTTTATCGCTTCCTGGCTCAATGGATTAAACAGACACTTGCTGAACCATTGACCTCGTGGATTGCTCGTCATCCAGTAGGCTCCGTGGTACCGGGTTCAACTCAGAATTGGCAGTGGCCTCAGTTAGTCGGACATTTGCCGCCATACGTACGCGTCGGGATTTTCACACATTCCCAACTTCCGGCACTGGTCGCTCAGCATTCATCCTCCATGGTTGCTACGAAAGAGACCACGGAACAAACCTCTGATCTGGCAATTGGCTCTTGTCCCATGCTCAATTCCAGCAATAGCGCCACAGATTGTTGCCTTTCGAACAATTTAGGAACCAAGGAAGCACTTTCAGTACCTACATTGTATCGGTATTTTCAAGACGAACTGCTCAATCAGCGGTCCACATACAGTTTAAAGTTTGGTCATCCTATTTACCCTGGAACTTGTCCAGATCCGAGTGAAATGAACAGCTGGTCTTCCCCCTCCCTTGATCAGTTTCGTGCTTGATATTTCAGTTCGGCATCCGAAAAATTCTATTCATTCCATTACTGATCCTAAATTTTATCTTCACCCTTCTGTTTAGATTTCCGAATAGAGCTTATTGTACCCGGTGTTTAGTCCCCCTCCCTATCCCGTTCCCTTCCTCGGCAGACAGGAAAATGGGTCATCTCCTGTCACGTAAAAACTATTAATAATAGGTTGCATCTGTTTGATCCAAGCTTCCGCTCACCCAGCCCAACTAAGTCGTTGGCTTTTTGTCCTCTCTGTGTTGTACATACGAAGTCTCCATGTGGACTTCATTCACGCAATAGGATTCCTATCCAGCCTTGATCTTCATCTAACTATCTGTTTTCGCTCCACTTCTCTTCTTACACCGTGTGTGTACTCATCTGTGGTTTCGTCTCGGTTCGAACGAATCTGATAGAGACGTTTTATCCATTCCACATTTCAGTTTGGTTTATTCGTTCAGTTCCGCTCAGCTGTATACATCACTCGTCTGTTCTCGCCTGTCTCCAACCGCCCTCCTGTCGTGCTTGGTGCACTGGAAGAGATGCGAAATTTTATGTCCGTTCAATCCCCGAGTTGTGTCTAGCTTCTGATCTATCGCAGACGGTCGGCATGTGTAACCACAGTAAGATATCGGAAATCTATAGACGGGTCGGGATGGGGTGGTTGAAAGGAAGGCAAATGAATGTGCATATGATCAAGTTGTTATGCCCTGAATGACAATAAGATGTACGTGTAGATTACAGGTCGACTTGTACCACATTATGGACTAAGCGGCCATCTGGACGCGTGTGCCTGTTTCTATCGCGTTCTTTAAAGAACCGCATTGGAATGCGTGTTGTTTGAAATGGCTTGTACCACTGGTTAGTTATCATGGAACATACAAGTCGCTTGAAATTTACGCAAATTATCCGCAGTAATTAATCATCGGTACAGATGGATCTGTCTACTCGATGTTCGTACTATCTTGTGATCAGAACGGTACGATCGTTTGAGACAAGAGAACTGGATGGTTTAATGCGGCTGCCGGTGAAAGTGCCATTTGTGAAGGGTATTTCTTACCGACACTCACACTTGCCTGTCGTACCGTGATTACACATTCGTGTCTATCGCGAAATCAGTCGTATCCACATTCACAAGCCTGTTTGTTTTTGTTCGTAGTGCACGCCATCCATCCATCCATCCATCCATCCCCGGTCAGTGTGAACCAAATTGAGAACCAGGCGTTCATATCATATTAGACATGAGAAATCTCACTAGGATATAACTCGGTACGACTATCCAACCCCGGGGTGCTCTCAGTTAAACTGTGCTAGTTTCTTTTTGGCGACAAAACTCATCATACATGTATCGCCATTTGCAAACAAACAGTTCCTTAAGCCTAGGCAAGCTAATAATAAGTAGTGGTTTATGCATTGTCGTATGAGAATTAAAACACCATCGACCCGAACTGTGTCCCTCACTTTCTGGAAAATTATTATGTTTGCACTTATTCTAGTTGATCAGTACCAATCGAAGACCGTATTATCGGTCAGATCAATTAGGCACCAGTATCCCGCTTGCATTGCCCGGTCATCTAGGTAATTAGCATCAGTTTAGTGAGCGCTGCATTATTCCGAGTGGAGTATTTCGATCCAATTATTGTCTCTTTGTTAGATGAATTACGCTGCATTTTACAAACTTAGAGGCTTTGAGCCCATGCCAGCTCCAGAAGTCATGGTATGTGTTTTCCACAGTTTCGAGTTAACCCAAACTGTCAGTGAAGCTGCGTTGATGCCCATGGATGTTCTTATGTGCCGTATGTTTTACATGAATCGAGCGAAAAGGGTGTTTGAAACTCTCATGGAAAGGTTGGTGACCTCTCGTACCCATTGTTATAGAGCGAGAAAGATGGCACTAACATGAAGACCCTGATTGACATAGATGTCAATTTCCTTCCGAATCGTACTGGCACGATCTGTATGGTTGACAAAACCGGTCGGTTCTGTCGGTCAGCAGTTCGCAGAGACAGGGTCCTATATGCTATCTAGTCAGACTGATCGCTTCCTACTATCGCCTGTGTAGCAGTCACCCACACACGCGAGAGTTGAAGCAGCCAGGGATAAGCTGCACTATGAGATTGGTGTGTACGTGTGCTGGAGAGGCGAANGGGGGGCCGATGTGCTTCAGAGTGGGAACGAGTCATTCACGTGAACAATAATGTTTGCACCCGATCGGAAGTAGGCGCTTATGATTGGCAGGTTTAAGGGTAATCGTGAGGCGACGTGATTAGTCAGCATTGTCTGTATGTATTGCTGTTCAAAATAAGCACATAGAAAATGACGCAGTGTCATTTCGAGGCAGAATGCTAACATTAACGGTGCTCATGTCTATGTGTCGGGTCTCTAGCCAGGGAAGTTCTAATTCTCACATTTCTGATGTATATTGTTCAGAATGTTCTCTGAAGACCAACAAAGAGTACTGGGCAAGGAATTTGTCGT